GTCGTATCATCAGCAAATAGTGTAAGATCAGACGAGTTACTAATATTAGATAGGTCATTTATAAATATCAAAAATAGGATAGGTCCAAAAACAGAGCCTTGAGGTTCCCCCATATTAACAGTTTCCCTTTGACTCAATTCGTTCCCAGTTTTGCAAACTTTATATCAATTTGTTAAATATGATTTAATTAATTAAATATTCTGCAAGCGGCGAGAAGAGAATTTGCCTGCACAATGGTGCCATCTATCGGTTTTCAACGCGGTCTTCTATATGTCATGACATTATCTGTACGGGACATATAGCGTGCTTTACGCAGGCAAATTCTCTTCTCGCCGCTTTTGAACTATTCCTTTCCAATATAAGAAAGGAACTAAAGTTTTCGTTTGGGTCTCGAGCCTATAGCAACTCGGCACTAATGAGTTCCACAAGAACGAAACGCGTCTGTCGATGCTGGCATGAGATCCGAACGAAATTAAACAAAAGCGGTGATAAGAGAAATGCTTGCAGAATATTTAATTAATATATATATATCTACCGAGTTTTAATACTTTTAATACAATAACTATAATGATTTAATTAGTTTTACACTATTTTCAAAAAAATTTTAGTGAGTGAGAAATACAGTCAAAGGCCTTGCTTAGATCACAAAACACTGCTTTAGCAAATTCAAAGTTTTCGAAAGAATCTTCAATTGTTTGTACCATTTGTAGAATTGCACATGTGGTATTTTTACCCTTTCTGAAACCATGTTGAAACGCACTAAATATGTTGTTTTCTTAAAAAAAAGCAACAATTCTATTGGCCATGCATTTTTCAATAATCTTTGAAATAACAGGCAAGATTAAATTTGGTATTTCAAAATTAAGAACCATGGTTCTTAATTTTGAAATACCATGCATTTGTATATAAATGAGTTCTGCCGAAGTAGGTAACGAAATCCCCGAAGTAATCGACAAAACTGTATTCTCTAGATTGTGCTCTCGGCAACCTAATCCGAATCAGAATGACTTATTTATAACATTAAAATCGCTTAATTTGGTGGCACCGGGGGATTTCTGAGGTAAACGTGTTGGCTTACCGATAACAGACGGAATTAAGTCGAATGTAATAGGTAATACAACAGTGGCTTGCAGGCCGGTCGGCTCTCCGACTGAACCGGTATACCGGCCGCCGCGTTATATTATCGCCAAAATGCTGCCGTGTATTATTTAGTTCTAGTTACCGTTCCTGGTGTCAGATTCAAATCTTTATAGATGGCCCTCAGTGTAATCGAACCCGAATTCTGCAACGAGAGTTTAAACGTAATTTAAATTTCGTTTTATTGTAATTATAATTGTTTAAGTTTGTTTTCAGAAATTATTAACCACTTATTTATAGCAGTAGTCGTTTTTAAACTGTTATACAGGGTTCCCCGTAATAGACTACCCATTTTATTTTATTAATAAATTCCCTACGAGATAACTAAATAAGTTGTTCTCTATGGGAATATATTCTATAGTCTTTGGGATTTAAGTTAATTATTAATCAAGTAGGCGCCTGTCACAAATAAGTTTTAAATTAATAATTTCCTGGAACGTCATTTTTTCAATGAGAAGTTTGTTAGTTTTCATCAATAATTATTTAAATTATTTATTTTTTTTTGCTTTGAGACATTATTTCAACATCCGTTTGAACTTTTATGGATTACTCAGTCCAACAACGTGTGTTTTGTGTGGAAACTTACAGATGAAGCAATTCGATAAAAGAAGTTAGGCGTTCATTCCGGCGTCAGTTTAATAACAACAATAGGGGTCACGCGCCAAATCGTAAAACTGTTAAGTTATGGGTTCGTCATTGGCGTGAAAATGGTTCTGTACAAAATTTGAAAAAGCCTGGACGTCGAAGAACAGTTCGTACACCAGAAAATATTGAACGAGTTAGAATTGCGTTTACGACTTTACCACTTTTTATCTAATATTGAAAAATGTGTTGAAGTTGGTGGAGGTCATTTAGAAGACGTGATTTTTAAAAGTTAGAATTAAATTAGCCAAATATTTATAAGTTATCATAAATCCCAAAGAGTTTGTTTTATTAACCCTAAAAAAATTTTAGTTCAAATGTTAAAATGGGTAGCCTATTATGTATAATATATTTATTTATTTATTTAATTATTTACATCCAACAGGCCAAAGGCCCAATTTCAGGATACATAAATATATATAGAAAATATAGTGTTAGTGTTTAAATTATAGGTTGCAAATCATCTTTCGAAAAGGTACATATAGTATACATATATGTACCTTTTCGAAAGATGATACATTGTATACTTATAAGTATACTTTAAAAATATCTATATCTAAATCTAAGGTTTAGTTTTAGAAACTTTAAAGTTTATGTAAATTAATAAATTAGGTGAATCAATTAGACTATAAACTATTTTGTACAGGAAAATTAAATCAATATTTTCTAAGAAGAGTAAAGAAAATTCATATAATATTATTTTATAATCATAATTTTGAATTGGATAGGTAACTGAAGTGTTTTTTAAAATAAATGTATTTAATGAATTTTCTTTGAATCGATTTGATTTGCCTGGTACATTTTTTGGTGTACGGATTCCAAAAAACACTAGCATATTCTAGTTTACTTCTAAGAAGAGCGCAATATAATAAACGAATACGTGAAATATAATGAATGAATACAATAAAATTCGCTTTTGGTGCAAATAATAAAACCAAGCATTTTATATGAGTGCTGGCAAATATTATTAATGTGTAAACTAAAACAAAGCTTCGTATTAAAAGTTATCCCCAAGTCTAGCTAATTATCTACTCTAATTAATACATTGTTGTTAATTGTGTAGTTCCACAACATTTACTTTTCTGGAATAAGACATAGTCTAACATTTAGTCACCTTTATATCCTAATGTAGTATATTATGAACTTATTAACTTTTTTCATGTTATAAATAAATAAAACATAATATAATTTAAGAAAAAAATATAAATACGCAATTTTGAATTGGTTATATTTTTGACTATTTTTGACGTGCTAATTTCAAATCTGACGTCAGATTGCTCATCGCATTATGTTTTGGTTCATTTTGGAAGAAATTTAATTTATCGTGTTATTTAAGAATTTTAACTAACTATTTTTTAGGGACAAGAAAAGGTCATTCTCACAAAAAAGGCACAAACAAAAACAAAAGCAAAAAAGTCTGGATCCTTTTTTATAATTATACTTTAATAATAGCGTTCTGTTATAAAAGGCTCTATGAAAGGATTCTCTTAGATGGTCAACAAATGTTGTATTAGGTTTTGAAAAAAACAGCAATTTTCCTAAAAATTTGCAAGTGCGGTAAAACCAAAGTGGAATCTCCTCTTTCGACCAATAGCCGCACACAATATTTTATTTAACTACCGCCAGAAATATATCAGAAATTTGTTTCCAATTTTAATTTAAAGCTACTTCAACCCGAGGACGAAAGGCTATTTAGCCCACTAGTTGGCAAAGTAGCATTTCGCCCACGAGTTGAACAATTGGGAAATTTATTATTTCGCCTACCCTCAGAGGGGCCATGAAGTTACATATTTTTTTTGCGGGTGTTGGATAATAGTATATCACAGAACTAATATACGAGTTTTGAAATGGACGTGCAAGAATAGTATATTAAAGAACTAATGTCATAAGACGTAATTTTGTCGCACGAGGACAATTTATAAAACGAGCGACAAAGAAGCGAGTTTTGTAATGGATAAGTGCGACAAAAGGTCTTATGACATTAGTTCTTTATGCTTTTTATCTTATTTGCAAAAATTCTATAAAAAAAATTGTAAATACCTTAAATTTAGTTTGGTCGAATTTTACTTTAGTTAGTTGGTATCACAGTCATTGGTTTGACAGTTAATGTCAAAATCGATTCTTCGCCATGCCGTCCTTAATTTACTTATTTACAATAAGCGGCTGTTAATGTTAAAGAAAAAACAAGAATTTTCTTTGGTGCTAAACAAAATTTATTGCCAAAAAAGTCTCGAGAGTACTAGAAAAATCAAAAAAATATTATAACCAATAAGCAAAATATTATGCTGTTTAAAGTATGGCCAACCTATAAAATCAAAATTTTGGATGGGATAAAATATCTCATTACAGCACCGAAAGCGGTGTTATAATGAAGTAATTATGAACGCAAAATAGATAAAATTATGACTATGATTATGACATGAGTTCTTTATAGTATTTGTTATATTTATCAAAATTAAAACAAAAACTAATTATAAATTATATATGCGTAATGTACTGTTGCCATGTATAGTTCGAATATGTCGAATGGTTCGAATAGTTCGATTGGTTCAAATAGGTCAAATGGTTCGAATATTCGAATGGATATGTTTTGTTTTAAATTATTTTAACAAATACCTGCATTAAAGTGGTTAGTTAAATCAATATCATACATTTATTTTTAGTATTTTAAAGCAAAAATAAAACGACAGTTTGTAATGACATGGGTATATTTTATTAAATAAACCTATTTTTTTAAGCGTACAATTTTTTTATATTATGGGACCCCTAAGTCTACATAGAAAGACTTCATATTAATACTGGTTTAAAAGTCAAATTATTACCAACCTCCGTACAAAAATAAAGCTTAATTTCATCATGTTGAACCTAACCTTAAAATGTTTTGACAGAATCTTAAGAAATTAATAGATGCTTGAAAAAAATAGTATATAAAACACGTCGGAGAAAGCTTATTAATGCCCCACACACAATCCACTGAAATGTATGCTCGGAGATACTAAGTGCTTTTTCCGCCTGGTCTATAATAATATAATAATACTTACAATATAGTTCCTGCATATAAATAATTTAAAAATATAATATTATATTATTTTACTAATAATAACAATTTTGTTTATAATTAGACCCCTTGTTGATCCTGTAGTTGTTTTGAGGACGTTTCGACAAACTCTCATTTGCCATTTTCAAGTCTTGGATAACTTTCTGCTTGCGCTTCTAGGTATTCAAATGTTGGTATCTGCTGGTGGTTTATATACGATTTGTTCGTTCCGTGTGGTAGCCCTTGGTTGGTTTTCAGCTTGATTGCGTATGACGGTTCCGGTCATGCATGGGGAGTTTAAAAGTCGTTGAGGTGGTTTTGTTTTGAAGAGTACTGGTTTCCAGGCTGTTGGTAATCTTTGGGTGTCATCACGCGTGTTTAAATTATACGGCCGTTTCTCGATTTTTATAATTCCTGATTTCGGGTGTTCTACGTTGGAAAATACCTTTGTGTTTTGAAAGTCTATGTTGTGGGATGTAGAGCTGACGTGGTGTGTTAATGATGAGGTTACGATGTTCTTCTTTTCGTTAATCCTTCTGTTTGTTTGTCCTATGTATGTCTGGTCGCAGTCTTTGCAGCGAATCGTTCGTAAATGCCTTGGCTTTCTAAAGGTATCTTCGTTTTTTGATTTTGTAGAATAGAGCTAATTTTTCTGTCGGTCTTAAATGTTGTTTCTACAGCATGTTTTCGAAGAATTTTTGAAATCTTATCTGTTGTATCCTTAACGCCTTAACTTAAGGCAAGTACGCTTTGGAGATAGGTTTTTCTTCTTTGTCCTGTAGTTTAGTTTAACAATTATTCTCTGGGTTTTATTATGTCGTTAATGGTTTGATTTGCTTAATTCCTGATTAAGGTTTTCTGGATCTTCGACTCTTTCTGAAAGGTTCTTTAGGTTTCCACGGGCGTTATATGTATTGGTGGTTTTCCGGGATCTACTCCATGTTATCGGTTTTTGGTTCCTAAAAGAACCGTATGTATGACGACGTTTCGGTACAATCTCATGTACCATCTTCAGGTCTTTTCTGCTGGGCTGCTGTTGCTGCTCGGACGTGTTCAGCTAAGGAAGATGTTTTTTGTTTCAAGGCTGCGTTAGGATGTTCTTCGCGTCGAACGTTGATACGTCTATTGGTCTGCCCTACGTAGCTTCCGTTACAATTCGAAGCTGACGAGCATATAGCCTGGTTTCAGTTTTATGTCCTTTATGCGCTCGATGAAGTGGTTTGCGTTTTTTACTTAAGATTAATGTTTTGTCAGCGCCAGCCGTACCTCTCGGAAATTTTATTTTCACAGGATGACGCAAACGGCTTTTTTAAGTTCATACACATTAAATTCTCTCACAACAATAGCTTAGCTATTTTTCAAAAATACAGCAAAATTATCAACGTTTCATTTTAAAACTTTCAGCTCGTACAAGAAATAAGAGAATAATATATGTCAAAAACAAAATGTTTGAAATACATCAACAGTTTGTAAATAAAATTATTTACCTTAATTTTCCCGTTAGGTATTTTAAAGTTAAGACTAACAAGAACATTTTGAGTTACCCCTGTATAATATTGCCTAAACGAAAAAAGGTTAAAAATTAACCTTTTTTTGTTTGGGCGATATCATACAGGGGTATTATTATTAATACAATAAAAAACAATCAAAATAGATAAATCTACAAACTAATAAAAAATCATGAAAATCTGATAAAACATAAGAATTAGCCAAAATTTTGGGGTCGCGGTTAATTAGCCCGATTTTCAATTAAAATAACGAGCAAGCTTCTTTAATAAGAAAAATTAATACAAAACCAATCGCTTGAAAAATAAGGGTTGTCAAATAGAAATTTAATAAACTAAGCTACCAAGTACCAAGGTGATATCTTTATATCCAGGAAACACTTGTATTAAAAAAAAGCTTTAGCTTAAAACATATCTTTTTTAGCAATTTAAAAACTTTAGCTAACGATTTATTATATTTTATTTATAAATTTTTGTTCTAACAAATTGAATTTACAATGCAAAAATTAATTGTTCATGCCAATACATTTAATGCAATATCTACTATTATGGTAATCTAAAAATAAATAAATCTTTAAAAATATTTTTTACATTTTCAAGAATCATTGTAAGATATTCTTCGTTATGCTATATAAAGTAAATCTATAGAAAAAATAATAATATAAAAAATAAATCTGCAAAACTGTTTTACTCCAAAATACCCAAAGGATAGCAAATATGTCTTTTTGGGAAGTTAACTCGTTGGAAAAATTTAAAAAGTATTTTAAAGTAGTTTTGTAAAAAAAAATTATTTCGCGATGTAAAAAAACCCGTTTGTTTACTTCTGGGTTAGAAATTCTGAAAAACCTGGCAGGATGGAGCTATTCTAAGGTAGAGTTCAAATTTAACGCACCTTCTAATGATATATTCTGATTTTAACAATAATCATAAAATATTGACAATTGGTAATTTCAATTAAATTTCAATTCATATTTTTTTTCCTAAAAGTTAAACGTTCTATCAACAGTTTTATTTTAAAGCAAACAAAATAAAGCTATAGCTAGTGTTTACATTCAAGCATAAAAAATTAATAAACGCATTGTATCGTAAAAAGCTTTGGATTTTATAAAAACTAAGGATTTTAAATTCTTTCATTTCCGATTTCCTTTTAATAGTTGGATAGTTTTTAGCATTTCTTTGTTTGCATGCTTTATTTGAACTAAAAGAAACTGTCAATACGCTTAAATTAAAAGGATGTTTATTGCAAACAAACAAACAAAACAATCCATTAAATTACTTACTAACATATTTTTATTAATGTTTCTTTTGATTCAAAGAAATGCTAAAAACTGGGTATCTATTAAAAGGAAATCTAAAATGAATGCATTTAAAATCCTTTGTTTTTATAAAATCTAATGCTTTTTACAATACAATGAATTTATTTTTTATGCCTAAAATTTTACACCTTGGTTTTCTTTTGTTTGCTTTTTAATAAAACTGTTGTTAGAACATTTAACGATATTTTTAGTACCGCAAAAAATTGGAATAGTATAGATTTAGTACTAAAATTATTTTCATCCAAAAATGTTATGTACCCTTTTGCTTATTACTTCTTCAGTTTCTTTTAAAATTAACTTATGTTTTTTTACTAATGAATTTAAATTGGTTAAAAAAGCAATACGCTAGAATGAAAGAAAGTCAAATTAAGTCAAAATATATTTTCAAAAATGGCGAATGCGCCGTGGTTAACGCACATAGATTTCAACTTTTTTTTTTTATTACACTCAAAAAAAGTAGTTACTAATTGTAACAAAAAAAAATGTTGCAAGAAAATTCTTATTTATGACAGATCACATTGTTATGGCAAACGTTTGGTTGCAAATATGAACAAATTGGAATCTGTTGTGGCTACTTAAAATTATTTTTAACTGTTTTTTTAGTAGTAACTAATATACTTGCTGTGACAACAAACTTCTATGTTGCGTTACCGAACGTGTTAAGAGAGAGGGTTAACGTCTTGTCTTTACGGTTATTCATATATTGGTTGCATCATCCCGCGTAGGTACCTAGAACTTCTATTTATGCATGTGATTGTTATAATATACATTAGTGAAGTGAATTTGCAAGTAAGGTAGTTTTAATTATCAAGGGTAAGTAATTTAATTTTGATAAGCTAGGTATATTCTAGGTACTACTTAACAGAATGATTTAAAGCGGCATCTTCGGCTTAATCTAACATAACCTCAATGTTTTAAATTCCAAATTTCTAAGTTAATATGAAAATTTCTTTAAGTAAATAGGTACCTACGCTTTATTTAATATTTGAATATAAGTACCTAATGTAGTCAGTCTAAATTTAATTTAAGTTAATTACCACCAGGTCCTCTTAAACAGTACAGGGTTCTATTTAAGTACCTATACCTCCATTATTTTTAATTTTTCTTTTTTTCTTTTAAAAGTTTTAAATTAAAATACATATACCTAATATTTTTTAATTGTAAATTTTTAAGTAAAAGAGAAATATTTTAATTCATAACTAGGGTATGACGCACGTATAATAATCCTTAAACAGAAATCATAAGTTATGCTTTTTTAAAATTTTGTTACATTGTTTTAGGTAGTGATATCAATTTCTCCAGAGCTGCCACTTATGACACGACATCTACACCTAACTGTGTGCATATTCAAAAAAAAAAAAGTATCATATATGATACTTTTTTTTTTGATCATACAGCCGTTTACATTAGGTAGGTTGTTATAACCTTACTTTAAGGTATATAATTTATAGAATGTACCTTATGTTTTTTATGTCAAGTATTTAATTTTATAAAACGTTTTGTAATAAATATCTTTAAATTATAGGTACCTGTAGTTTTAATAAGACCTTTTGTTCGACTTACAAAAAATATTGTTGTCATAACAAATTTTACCATGTTGACTTAAGATTATATAGTATTTATAATTAAGAAACAGAATAGTTGATACAACAAATTTTTTTTGTTTCAAAAAAGAAAAAAAAGATTTGCTGCCAGAACAAAATACATTTGTTGTGGCAACAAGTTTTAACAACAACTAAAAAATAATGTTATGTCAACAAAAATATTAGTTGAGTCTAAACCCAATAATTTTTTTTGTTGGGGTTACTAGGGTCTTATTACAAGCAACTAAGTCATTTTTCAATTAATTAAATTTGAATTTACTGAAAAGGTAGAAAACATACACGGTTTTATTTTATTAAAAAAAGGAAATGTTTTACTAACCCTCTCTAGGGGCTAACTTTGGATATTAAAGAAGGTATATGTTAGTAATATAAATGGACACAAACAAAAAAAGATGATTTTATTAAACTCTGATTAGTTAAAAAGAGCTTAATTTGTAAGCTTGTTTTGTAATGTATAACGCAATAAATTATTTACACAAATTACATTTTAAATGTGATAAAATTTATATCGCTGTAGGGGCGATGTTAGGAGATAATTGTATTTTTGTCGCTTAAAAGTTGTTGGCGAACGTCCCATTAAATACTGACCACTTAGCATACTTAATGGAAGGATTTCTTAATCAAAAGCCGTGGCCTGGAAAATTAGTTACAATAAAGTCGTTAAAGATATCTCAAATCTTAAATAAGAAACTTTGCAGCGCTCCCTCAAATTATCATATTGTATCGTATATTTCCACGACAAATTAAAGTTTTTTAATTAAGTTAAACATACAATTTTTATTAATTTTTGTTTTCTTTTACAGGTATGTAATTGATTTAATTTAAATGGATTTTTGGGTGAGTACACAGTAGTTTGATGAAAAAGTAACTTTATACTGGCAAATTTAACTAATTGAACCATTACTTTTGTAAAATGTTAGATTTTATTTAATGTATTAAAGATTTATTTATTTATATTAAACATTTAAATACAGCCCGTTCAGAGTAAAACCGAATATAGGGAAACGTTTTGGGCGTTGCCTCGCCTCCCTCCAACGCGCGTCACAGTAGCTTGTGAGATAAACGACATGACGAAAGGTCGAGCAGGTGGGACGACCGTAAAAATTAAATGATAATAATGCAAAAAATCTCATTAGCGATGCAGTCTATTTGCTTGGCTACTGTGTCGCGCGTTGGAGGGGGGCGAGGCCACGCCCTATACGTTTCCCTATATTCGGTTTTACTCTGAACGGGCTGTATAAGTACGTACCTTTTAAAACGCAGTATTTAAATTATTGTCCACTAAGCAGTACATTCTTTAAAGGCAGCTAAATTCCATGTGCCATAGCGTTATGTAAACTGTAAAGCAAGCCATTAACATGGTAAAATACATATCGAAAACAGTCCAGCAAGGTTTACGGCTTTGTATGTGAAAATAAAAAAATCTTCGGACCTGTATACTTTTGTTTTTAGGGGGACACTTTTACAGATTAATTCCATCACTGTAACCAACTCCTAAGAGGGGCGGGCATTCACCCTCATTTTTGGGAAGGGGTATGTTGTGATACATATTTTAAAGGGCATTCAATTTTCTTTAAAATTTAAAATTGTGCTGCGGGTTGCCGAGAAATTTAATTTAATTTTATTAATTAGTACTTACGAATTATCATACTGTTGATAATGTCAGCCATTCACCTCCATTAGGGTGTTATTTACCAACTTGTTTTTTTTGTTCGCACTGCCCCCTAAATTTTTAGTTTATGACCTAAAAAAAATTATTAAAAAAATTATAAAAAAAATATTTATATTAAACCGTGCCACAAAGGCGATACATTTTCCATTTAAATAACATGGGGTTTTACATTTAATTTTTTTCTTCCGAGCAAGTTAATATACAGCAATAAGAGACACATATTTATATAGGAAATTGAACGCTGTACAAAAAAGCTTTCCAATGATTTTTTCATCAATTCACTGATTTAAAAGTTATTTAAGGTTAAAGTTAAACTTATAGTAATTTTTTCGATTTTTTTACATTGACTGCAAATATATAATTATTTTTATGAAAATGAATTGTTTATTTTTTAAAATATGAGATTTTATTGTAATATTGCAAAATAAAAATTATTGAAAAAAGATAAGTAAAAATTATTGACAAGAGATTTCGATAAATTCAATTTTTTTATTACATTAAACGAATCTGGTACTAGTTTTACTCAATTTTAGTACGATTACTTTTTTACATAATATTTTTATTTCTGTGAAATTCTACAAAATTTTATACGATTTTATAAAATATTATACAATAAAAAGTATAGCTAATGACGTAGAAATTCTTTTAACTATTATTTTTGCGATAAAATAAAATTCGAAGTTACGCATACGTTGTCTTGAGTTTGAGAGCAGACATTTCCGCTACACCAATTATCCTTTTCAAATAAGTTAAATGTATTTATCTACTTCTACATTGACGAGCTGTGACTTTATGGCTCTTTAGTCACGGGCTGAAGTTGGCAATAAGTAGTGGCTTTTGGGAATTTTAGTCACGGGTTGAAATTAGCTTTATTATATATTAGAGAAAAGTGAGGTTAATTCCATTGACATTTGACAGATATCAAATGTTTAACAAATATAATTGGCTTTAAATTCTTCTTTGTGTTCGTCGTAGATAAAGTATACTTAGTATGCAACTCGCTTTATAAACTTATCTAGACACTCGTTTTTAATAAGCTTCGCTCATGCCCAATAAATTTGTAACTAAAATGGCGTTTTGTAAAATTTTACAGAAATAAAAATATTATTTAAAAAAAGTAATCGTTCTTAATTTGAGTAAAACTAGTATCAGATTCTTTTAATGTAATAAACAATTTTTAATTTATCAGAATCTCTTGTAAATCATTTTCACTTATGTATTTTCAATAATTTTTACTTTTTCAATAATACATGAAATCAAATATTTTCAAAAATTAACAATTTATTTTCATAAAAATAATGATAATTTTGTAAAAAGTAAAAAAATCGAAAAAAATTACTATTAGTTCAATTTTAACCTTAAATAACTTTTAAACCAGTGAATTTATCAAAAAATCATACTAAAGTTTTTTTGTACAGCGTTCAATTTTCTTTAAAAATATGTATAACTTATTGCTGTATATTAACTTGCTCGGGAGAAAAAAAAATATATGTAAAACTTGCCGTTATTTAAACGGAAAATGTATCGTCTTTGAGGCACGGTTTAAAAGAAAATTTTTTTTATAATTTTTTTTATAATTCTTTTTAGATCATAAACTAAAAATTTAGGGGGCGCTGCAAACAAAAAAAACAAGTTGGTAAATAATGGACACCCTAACCTCCATACATTAGTACAGCAACTATTTAAAGTGTTCCCGAACATGAAGAATATCGGGTGTAATTTGTTGGCATTCATTAGGTTCCGGTTCCGTAAATCTTCTGTCCCCACAAATTCGATTCGATAGCAGCCCATCTTACAATTCATCTACCAGAAAACGTAATATATAAAGCATAACATGGTTCTGGGAGAATGGAACTGAAGCTACCCATTTTGTCTGATGATGAGAAACAAAAGAGAGCATCATGATCCGAAAATGTTTCAAAATGTAGTTGTAAACTGTGTCAAATCTCTCGAGCCGTACCGGCAAATATTGCTCAAGCAACATGTGATTTTATACCAGAACAACACAAAAAGGAAATGGTTGTTTCTTCGTCGATGGAAAAATGGTGTAGTGTCTGTTGAACTATTCTGCCCTAGTAAGGGCAATATTGAGTTATAAGGGACAAAAGATTGTTTTCATTGTTAAAAACAATAAAAATTATATGTTGTCCTTTATTACTGAATATTGCGAATACGGGGGTTTGGCTTAGCACGGCAGTATTCGAGCAAGAGGAAAACAACATGTTTGCAACAAAGTTTCTCGAGTGCAGAATATGTCTAGATACTTTTCAACCCTGGATGAAAAATCTCAAAGCCAGGTAATTTAAAGTGCCCTTAAACGTAAAGTAAGCGACGTCGCTTACCTGGTTTGAGATTTTTCATCCATAGTTGACAAGAAATATTCTGCACTCGAGAAACTTTGTTGCAAACATGTTGTTTTCCTCTTGTTAGAATAGTACTACAGACACTACACCGTTTTTCCACCGACGAAGAAACAACCATTTCTTTTTTGTGTTGTTCTGGTATAAAATCATGTGTTGCTTGAGCAATATTTGCCGGTACGGCTCTAGCGATTTGACACAGTTTACAACTACTTTTTGTAACATCTTGGAATCGTGTTGCTCTCTTTTGTTTTTTATATATTAAGACTTTTAGTTGATAAATATGTAAGATCACCTCAGAAAAAAAAATCAAAAGTAAATTTCTGAAAAACGGCTCCGCCGAAGATTTTAATTTTTTTGTTAAAATAATTATGGGTCATGCAGATACAGAATTTGAAAAAATCTCAGATGTGCAGAAGTTCATGGGTTGAATCAGTGTCTGCACATTGATTTTTCACCCTCTCCGCAATAGAATAAACCATTTTTTATCAAATCAAAAGAAAATAAAATAAAAATAATTTTAAAAAATAAAGCGCATTTTTTTACGAAAATTTAATATATATATAAGTATACTTCTTCGAATTTGAAAAAATAAGGGGTTGAAGTTATAGGAATGAAATTAATGTTTAATTATATCCCACAGTAAATTATTGATGTATATTAATTAATTAATATGAAAAATTAAGATTTTTTTTAAATTTTCCATAACTGGTTGGCATTTTACGCTACTGCAATTTGGATGCTCCTTAAAAGTAATATTAATAAATTTTGCATATAGTGCCTTATTATTAAAATAGAAAATAATTATAAAATCGGTTAGAAAATTAGCTGTTTTTAAATCAAATGTAATAAAATGACAAAAGTAAAGTTTGTTTTTGCAAGTTGGTACCTAAAGTTGTCTTTAATACCAGCCCTACAAATATATTAGTATATTATTTATCAAGTTTGATAAACGCCATTTTAGACACGAATTTAATTAAAAATTAATGAGTGTCTAGAAAAGTTTATAAACGAGTTGCATACTATACTTTTTTTTACGACAAATACTTCTTATTATCTTAAAATTATTTAAATTAAATATTTCTATAGAGCGCCATCTATAAAAAAGAAGGGGAATCTGGGTTAGGTACCCTCAAATGTCAAATTTGTGTGTGTTATAAAGGTTATAAATCGAAATGTATTCGTTGAAAATCGATTAACAACAGTTTTTCACAGTGAAAGTAAAGAAAATGTTTTATAAGCACTTCACGGTGGAGTCCGAGCTCGAATTTGAGTTATATCCAGTTTACTTCTGGCGAAATTAAAAGGTGAATACAATGTTCATATAAAATTTTCAAATATTGGCATTGAGAAACTATTTAATGCTACATGTTTCCATGACACTAAGTGATCTATTAAATACACATTGACAAGTTGTGGCTTTATGGCGCTTTAGTCACGGACTGAAGTTAGCAACAGGATTTTAGTCACGGGCTAAAGTTAGTTTTAAGTTAGTTGACAGTTGTCAAATATCATACAATCGTTAAAATAAAGGGCCTTTCTTGTAAAATAATACTAAATGTGAAAATTATTTTACTATCACTTTATTTTAACGATTGTATGACATTTGACAACTGTCAACTAACTTAAAGCTAACTTCATCCCGTGACTAAAACGACATAAAGCATCAACTTGTTAATGTGTCACTTAGTCTCATGGAAACATGTACGATAATGGGAGTTTTAAAGGTGGGAGTGGAAAAAATTATTTATTTATTATTATATTTTAATAATAAAGAACAAAAACCACATTTTATTTGCAAAAACCGTTTTATTGCTTTTAAAATATTTTGAGTAAAAATAACAGAACTTTCTTTGTTTAAAATCTTAAATGCAAACATTAAGCCAATTATTCAAAGGTTAAATCCATGTTAAAAACTAGTGAGGCAAAAGTAATGATTCGGATTTTGTAAATTTTTATGACGTTGCTTGTTAAAAATCGGTGACCGGGGACCCGAAAGGGTAATAAAGCGTTAACAATTCGAAGAATTTTAATATCTCGGTGTTTTCGGTGCGGCCAAAATTTACAAACATCGGTTTCCGCAGGCTTTAATTACTTTAAGGGCTGTTGTTAGCATAAATCAGCGCGTAATTATTTTCCAAGTCAAAATGCACGAATCGCAGGGAAATTAATTTCGACGGGAAAGCACTTAGATTAAAAAATACATTTGTTAATGTGCATGTGTAATGAGGGCGCGCGCCAATCCTAAAATTTCCATACTTTTTCTGTGCTGTTTGCTAAACATTCGCTTAACGTAAATTGAATCCGAATTGGATGGGGCTTGTGTATTTATATTTGCGTTTGAAACTTTTATCGAGACGATTATATGCTTACACCATCATTTTGTCTATCTACATTCAATTTTACTTATCCACAACATTTATTCAACATTAATATTTATCAACGTTTAAATAGGTATATAAAATGTTATTTACTCGTACAATGCTACCATCCAATTTTGGTTTTGCTGATTTGGCGTTTATTTTTAAAGTGCACATACAGAATGTCTCTTAAGGTTGGTAATTTCCAGCATGAAAGTACCAAACACGTAATGATTTACAAGCGATATTTCTTGAATATGATTCAAATTAAATTAAAGCTTTTATACCTCTAACAACACTTTATTCAAATATACTTTAATTTGGATTATACGAAAACATAAACAATTTTTAGAATAACGTGCAATGTGAAAATATTTGAAGAATACCGTAAAATGGGGTTACTTCGACATTCGGGATAACTTCGACTGAATTCGGGGTAACTTCGTCAAATGCCGTCTGTGGTCGGCTCTGCTGTCTTCCGGTCGGTGTGTGTCTAAGTAAAACGTTCAACAGGTTATACAACACGTGCTTTTAGGTTATCTTAAGTTAAATAACCGCTAAAATGCCGAGAATTTACCAGAAAAACATCGGTGGTGGGCCGTACAAAAATTACAATGGGAAGACCATGCAGACATCAATTGAAGCAGTCAAGAAAGGATCAAGTCAGCTAGCTGCGAGCAAAAAATTAAAGGTGCCTCGTACCACCTTGATAGACAAATTACATCAAGACCCAAATTCTCTCAGGCAACCTCCAATGTTGACAGAGGAAGATGAACGCCTGATCAGTGACACGCTTGGAACTGTGAGTGACTAGGGTTATACGTTAAGTACAAGTGACGTTATTAGTGTTTTGGAGGCATTCGTGACACAACAAGGGCGCGATATACAGGGTTGGACTACATAAAAAAATGTGGAAAGAAATAAGCTGACTACCCGTATGGCTACGACCATCAAATTAAATCTGCTGCTGTGAAAGAGACCCAAACTTCCTAATTTTTCAAAAACATTGGACCGCAAACACGCTTTCGCAAAATATTTACAATTACGACGAAACGAACATTACAGACAATCCAGGCTCCAAAAAGGTTCTCGTGTCCCGAGAACGATAGCGCGTGGAGGGGATTCGAGCGCATTCCAGGACATCCTGAATCAGGATTCCTGATGATCTATATACAAGTCTCCAAACCTTTACGAAAACTGGACGACTGGGGCCAACTGAAACGGTGTATGGACACAGCAAGAGTGGGTGGTTTGCATGCCGCTTTTTGAGAAATGGTTCTTTGAGATTATGCTTCCTCACGTCAAGGAGAATCGCAAGAAAGGTGAAGAAGTTGTGGTAATTGGTGACAAACTTGCCTTCCATTTCTCACCAAATGTAATCAAAAGTGCAATTAAAATTTATATGACACACCTATCTACCCATCTAATGACGTGTCTTTCTTTGCACATGAAAAAAAAATAGAGATCGATTCTTGAATCGTGAAGGAAGTAATCTCGAAGAAAGGGTTATATTCCTAAAGAACAGTTTCCACATCACTTGTCGAATCTGTGGACTGAGATGAACTCGAAAGCTGAAAAAAAATTAATATCAGGATTTCGAACAACCGGATTAAATCGGTATAAACTAGAACCGGTTTTATCAAAAATACCGAATCTTCTTCTTCCACGGAAAGAGCTTTGGACCAGAGCTTATAAGAGTTCCTGAAGAATATAAGAGGATTCAATGAAGATGGACCCATAACTAGAAAGAGAGGAAAGAAACTTGCAGTTCCAGAGGCAAGCCCTGCTCCTGAAGAACAAAAAGAAGTTTCGAACGCCACTGATGAAGAGGTTGAGGATGTGGTAGGAACACCTGAGCCAGGTCATCCCCTCCAGCACCGACTTGAATATTATTCGGCTTAGCCTCCCTAAGGGGGTTGTTGGACAATGCAATACCTCTTATCAGTAAAGATTGCGAATTAAATACTGCGGTTTTGAGCTGGTATTTATATGTTTGTGTCTTTCAAGCCAGCGCGATGTATTCTTCTACACATGTAAATAATACGCACTTTTGTTTTTAAACTGTAAGTCTATTTTTTAAATGATTTATGGCAGCGCTGTTGTAAACGTCCGCCCTTTTATAAAGTTCGGTCGAAACTGATCCACTTATAATGATTTTTCCATGTACATCAATATAATAATGTGAATTTAATAGCTAACCTTTTTAAAGTTCCTAAGTCAGCTAATATCACTTTACTGTCAATACAAGTACCTATAAAAGCTATGACTAAATTTTATCTACTTTGAACAATCATTATAATTTTTAAAATTTAAATAAATCCCACAGTATAGGACTATTTTTACTATACAGTTGGGTCAAAACTGAGCTTTTTTAAATAAATACTCTTTAGTTAAACCTTTTTTCAGAAAAAAACAGATATCTAGACAAAATGCACAAAAATCTTACCATACACTTTAGAAAACCATAGTTGAGGAGCATCCGTAAAAAAACGGCTAAATTCATTTTTTTTTCAGTTTTTTTTTTATTTCGCAGCTATGGGTTTATTTCTATCGACAACCAAGGTAATTCGGTTGAAATCCGACTATATCCATATTAAAATCACATTTAAAATGTAGCTTCTGGAGCAAAACCGGCTAAATCCACGTTTTTATAACAAACCCGGCTATATACAATAAATAATGATTTTACTGTTAAACACGGTTTGACCTTGTGAGGGTTAAATGAAAATTAAGGAAAAACCCTGTTATATATAACTGCAAAAGAAGAGTATATTGAAATTTATTCAGAAGTAGGCGTTGTGAAACGATTGGACCACGACTGAAAAATATACAATATTAAGGATCTTAGAATGTTATAGGAACCTGTTAGTGACTATAGAGGAACCCATGAGGTTCAGAAAACCAATGCTGCTGATGGTGATGGTCAATATGATTGCATTTATGAAAAAGCTGCAGTATTAATATAGCTTGTTTAAAAAATTGTACTGCCTCTTTTTATGTTATAAGTCATATTTGACCAATTGTCATAGCGAAAAAGCAGTCACTAATAATTAGTTATATTCTACTGAATGAAATGACCCAGCCGGGGAGTGAACTCAGGTCTGTCACTTATCAAGCTTGTCAAGCTGTTGTTATAACCAATGTGGCTATCAGTCACTCTTATAAAAATCAATTTTATTTGTCAATAAATATTGTTCATAATATTTTAAAGTTGAATATATTATTTGTGTTGTTTTGAGCTAAAATTTTTGCATCTGAGTTTGCTTTTATGGGCCATTTAACCATGGAGCCTATTTGCATTTAATTCAAATAATACTTGTTGGCCGCAAACGATCAAAGAAATTAGTTACTTTTAACTCTCAAAAATAGTCAAAGATGGCGACTAATCTTAAATTAGTCAAACTTTAACTATTTACCTAGTAAAAAATAACTATTTAAAAGTGAAAACGACTATTTTATTAGTAAAAAATGCTGGTACTAATTCAAATAGTAGAATTTTCAGTAGTAGAATTTCATTTTAAGAGAGAATATTTTTAAATAATAAAGGTTTTTTTACATTTTAGTTATTTATTTAAGTTTCCGAGCAAAACCTACTGCTACATACAAAACATTTTTTGAAATTTTGGCCTTAATATAAAGTTTTTGAAAACGAGTAGGTATGTCTTATAAATGTTTCAATAAAAATATACAAAAGTATTAAATAGTTTCTCAAAGCCAATATTTAAAAAGTTTATATGAACATTGTACTGACCTTTTTATTTCGCCGGCAGTAAACTAGATTTAACTTAATTTCGATTGGAGACTGGAGTGCCAATAAAACATTTTCTTTACTTATACTGTGAAAACTGCTTCTATATCGGATTAAATGGTTCATTTTTGAGGGATACATTTCAATTTCCAAATAAAATTTGGACATTTGACGTACCTAAAACAGATTTACAATTTGGTTACTCTATTGCTTTATAGATGTCGCTCTATACAAATATTTAATTTAAATTATTTTTAAATAATAATAAGTATTTGTCGTAAAAAAGTATAATATGCAACTCGTTTATAAACTTTTCTAGACACTCATTTAATTAGGCACTCGCTCGCAAGCTCGCACGTCTATAATGTCGTTTATCAAACTTGATACATAATATACTATTTTAGATATAAAATTTACTCTCTTAAAATGAATTAGTCATATTTGACTAATTGTCATAGCGAAAAAGCAGTCACTAATAATTATTCAAATTTTACCGAATGAAATAGTCAAATTAGTAGATTTAAATTTAAAAATTCTTCTTGAACCAGCCACGGTTTGAACAGTCAAAGTTGGTAACTTATCTTAAATTAGTCAAACTTTAACTATTTAAGTAGTAAATAATAACTATTTAAAAGTGAATACCACTAATTTTTTAGTAAAAAATACTAATACTAATTGAAATAGTAGAAGCTTAGGTAGATATTAATATTCTATAAAGGTTTAAATAAAAAAAAATTGCAGTTATTAATTAATTTAAATTTTTCGGGATTTTGCTATCAGTCCAAACTTTTTTCAATAATTCCGAAATCTCAAGATCGGGATCCCAAACCTGAAAACTGAATTTAAATTTTGCGGGATTTCAGAATCAGTTCCGATACCCCAAACTTTTTCCAATAATCCCAAAATCTCAAAATCGGAACCCTATAGGGTTTATAAACCTAAAAACTGAAAACCCAACCAATACATTTAAAAATTGCGTTTGTAAAAGGAGATGGAGGAGAGGCGGCAATTTTGCAGCTGCAGCTGACATGTCTAGGGCGGCGACTTGTTTTAATCCGCCCCTTGTTACAGTGATTTAAAAAAAACATCTCGACTAAAAATGAAAATGTCTTAGCAACAGTCCATCGACAAAATTATTTTTTTATTAGGCTATGAAGCAAAATTCAAAGACACTGTACACAAATCGTGGCCGTAGTTTACTAAAAGTCCTCCAATATCTCAGATAAAATCGATGTTGTTCGAGAAGTAATATTGCAATTCTTTAATTAATTAACAAATATGTTTTCTTTTGCATGCATTATTGCCAGTGGCGGCTGGTGACATATTAAATTGGGAAAGGGGCACAAATTTATATACATGCAAAAATTAGATAATATAAACACATATTTAAATTAACAAATTTACCCGTATTAACCGTCTCACATACAGGTATTTGCACGATCTGGGCGGCCAAAATTATTTGTATGCTTAAATGGTATCTTAACCATGCCAATAAATGAATTAACTTATTTTTAACAAAAAAACTAATTTACAATACTTTTACTAAACGGCACAATGAAGTATTAAGAAAAATATGCTTAGTCAGATTCTTAGAATAATTGTAATTGTAATAAGTGTAATTATTACACTTTACATTTTTCTACACAAAACAACACAGTACAATTAACCCAACGTAATAAGCATTCAGCATTTTTGTAATTAACTTAGTTAATTTCGTCATCGCTATCTGATGAATTATAGCTCGTGTATGGATCTTCAGATATGAACATTGATATTGCTACTAGCAAGAACGTGTTAGCTTTTCTTTTCTATATTGTCCTCATGCTTCTCAACATAGGATCTGAACTAAGTAAAAGGCGATTGAATTTGTCCCTATTGCAGTTTTCTCGAAAAAATGTTCTTGCAAAGTTTTGTCGATAACTCCTGAAATAGTCATTACGAGCTTCAGCTGCCTCCTCTGAAAGCTGACCAATAGATAACAATGCTTTTTCAATATATTACTGCCCCATGAACTAAAATCTTGTGCAATGGAGGAGTCATAGGATGCCATGGGTACAGGTTAACATATACGTTAACGTACCTTCACATGAGAATAGTTGATCCTTTAGACAGTTTAGTTTAGCATCAATATAAGACACATCCGCGCTCTCCATGCCATCAAACAAGTGTTTTCGAGTTACTATCCTTACTTCCGAAACACCTGGTACACCAAAGACAAACATACACTTTGAAAAATGGCAAAAATAAAAAAAAATAATATTATTTATAATAAAAATAATATTATTTTTTCGACTTTTTTGTCCAAAATCTTTGAAGTATCAAAAAAAACAATTGTTATCCGGAATTTTCCGGGCAATCTTTTGGTGTTATTTATTAAAAGAAAGGGTAAATATTACATAAAAATTAAAACCATAGCTTGATCTAGCTTGATATCATAACAAATACCTTCGTGAAAGAAAAAAAATCATTAAAACTGGACTAAGAAAAAGAGTTCACTTTCAATAATTAAAAATTTCTATTT